CGGGGCACACGGAGACGGGTCGGTCTCCGGGGGCGCTGGGGGCCCCGTCGGAAGCGCCGGTCGGAGGGGGCGCGCTGGGCGAGGGAGGGGCGGCTGCTCCCGGCTGAGGGGGCAGAGGGAGCTCAGTGTGACCACTTTGATGTGATCACGTTCATACTGAGGCGTCACAAGTGTAGAGGAGCCTCGTTACTGACCTGGCGTCAATTGTAATTATTTTATTGTATTTTATTTTTTAAAGTTTAGTCCTCAAGGGGAGCTGCACCTAATTACCCATTGAAGTGCGTGGCTGCGGAATTAAGCAACTGAGATTTAGCTTTTCAGTTGTCACTTTTCCCCCTCGATATATCTGCGTTTACAGGAAATGCCGCTGAAAGACACTGGGAGGTGCAACAGACGCTTCCCGCAAGTCGGGGTGAGCGCGGGGCGGCCGCGGCCGTGCGGGAAGCCCTGCGCTGGCCAAGGGAGGCTGCAGGCTCTTGCACAACAGCCTGTGGTTCTGGTCTCTTATTCCTCATGCCTTTTTTGCTTTTTGCCACTTCACTTTAAGGCAAAGCACGCCCTTGTACTGTGATAAAAGGCAGTTCCTCAGTTGGTCATGGCATCCTTTCTATCACTAGTCTTGCCAAGGAGAGAAATACTATTGCCACAGGAAGCAAAGTGATAGGAGTTAAGGGAACAACTACATCTGTGTCCTGGTTGTTTCAGGGAGGTATGTTTTGTCTTTGTCTTGCACTTGGTCACAGGGCTAACTGCTGTTTGAGAGGTACCTGCTCCATCATCTGATGTAGAATCCTCTCCTTCCTCAGTCTTAGCCTCCGTTGCTTTAAGCTCTGGAGAATCCTCTCCTTCCTCAGCTTCAGCCTCTGTTGCTTTAACGAACTCTGGATATCTCAGGCGGTGGCTGGTAAAAATCGGGGAGTGTTTTGACTTGGCCTTGCTCCTGGTGACAGGATTAACTATCTTTGTAGAAGCAGTGGCAGCAGCATTGCCTGTGGGGGAGTGGCAGTGAGTGGAACAGCATCTCACCCTACGTATCCACAACACATGATAAACATTCAGCAAAAACATCCCCACTGCAACAGTGCTATTCAAATCAAGAGCTGGGAGATTCAGCTTGAAGGAAAATGGGGAGATAAAATGGAACCAGCTATTGCTGTTATCAACATGGACCGTTCCATTCACTTTAGGAGTTGAACCTGCGGTGTAACTGTATACATACAGTACCCCCATAGAGAACAGTATCATCATCCCTAGGATCACCAGGCTGGTAATGATATGGTTGATTATGGCTACAGTTCTATCAGTAAACCACAAAAGAATCACAAGAGCAGCTACAAAAAGCAGAATGCCGTGGGCTGCATACCACAAGTACAATTAGTTTTCAATCCGTCAGGAAACTCAGCAGAATTGTTTGCCATTGCTATCTGAGGGATTCCTCC